CCCCCCGCGTCGGGACCCAGGCCTGAGCACGTTCTCCTTGGGCGCACGTGGGCTGTCCCCCCGGCCGAGCGGCGGAATCGGTCGCTGCCCCCTGGGCGCGCTGGCAAAGCCGAGCGAGTCTGTCCTTGACCTTCTTCGAAGGCCGTCCTCGGGGAAGGCCAACTCTCCGGCCGCCTCCCCGCGCGCAGCGAGACCGGCGGCAGAGTCCCGCCAGCTGGGGCTAACCCGCGCAGGGTCCCCGGACGTGGGGGCGTTCGGCCTGTAGGAAGGGAAAGGCACCTGCGGGTACCGGCTGCAAACCCGGGTCTGGGCTGGCGTCGCCGGAGCGAAGCTTTTTGAGGGAGAAGTCCGCGCCGGCGATGGCTAGGGGGGGTGGCTCACAGAGAAACAAAAGCGAGGGGTTGCGAAGGAGGCCCAGTGCGGCCGGGGCTCTGGAGTCTGCCTCCTGAGACGGCGCCCGGCGAGCAGGTCTGCTCTTGGGCAAAACAAAAACACACGCTCCATGTGAACCGAGTGGGACTCCCCACGGGCTTGGCACCGGTTCGTTTCTAAGGAGAGCAACACGCACTGCACCTTGGACGTGCCAAGGCATAAACAAACCTGGAAGTCGTGGAAAATCACAATCAGCTTCGGCATAGTTGTAGCTCCGTTAAAAAGTTCCAGGATTGCCCCTCCCAAAGCCTATTAAACCCACCCCCCCCCACTACACACACCTGCCTAAAATAGTCTTAAGGAACACGTCGTGTTTGCGTTTTCGTTATTTAACCGTTAGCTGAAATGCATCTGCCAACGCATTTGTGAACCATCTAACTTAGTTTTAAGCTGTTTTTTAAAAAAAAGACTTAAAGGAGGCTTACCTTATAAAAGCCTTTGTGATAATCTTTTCTCCAATCTTTTAAGAGTTAAAATTCCAAGGAATATCAGGTGGGGGAATTCCGGGAAATATTACAAGCAGCAAATATTTATTACATTCAACAATGAAAAAGCAGCCGTCATCTCCGGCGTCCACAGCGACGGATGATACTATCTCTGGATGTGGACCGTGCGAATGATTGTTCACTTCGCTGATGGATCAAATGACGCCGCTTCCCTTTTAATCAATCGTTTTCGAACATTTCCAGAGAAATTCGTTGTTGGTTTTTGTTTTAAACGCTGTCTTGACAAGTTCCGCGCCTTTTTACCCCCTCTTTCCTCTCCTAGGTCCCTATGAATAACAAAAGAGATGCAGAGATAAACACGGCCACATCAAAAAGACTGATTCCTCTACTTTCTAAGAGGGAAGAATCAATAAGAAAGATGGTTAAGATAAGATTCCGCTCTCCTAAGGCTCCTTTCCTTCCCTGCGAGAAACTGGCAAGCTCGGGGCAAAGATGCGATCTTGTTCAGAAGTGATCTTTTTTTTTTTTTTTTAGATAAGGCTTTGTTCAGCTGATGTCTCCCCTGTTCCCAGCAACACAATCCTGTAACTCGGGGCTAAGCTTGCCTCTCTCTTTTCCCTCAATTTCTTGTATGTTGTATAAACAGACACCTATTTTCCAGTTTCAAAGTCTGTCCAGCCTTGGTTATACATCCCCCACCCCTCCCTTTCTTTACCTTGTAGCAAAATATATAATCCGTGGCTTGCAGATGCTTGGAGAAAGGTAGATGAAAAGGGAACGTCTCCCGGAGTTCCAGTGGCAGGAAGGCAGAGAAAGACCCGAGCCAGTGGGCGAGCCAGGGCAAAGAGGCAGAGAAAGATGCGTGTGTGGGGCTTCTCAGCTCTCCTGGTACCAATTGATTCAGCCTAGAGATGGTGGAAGAGATAAAGGCTTAAGAAGGGGGATGGAATTTTCTTGCCCAAATTGATATTTAATGGGAAATCCTATTGGACAGAAACCTGGACATGAGTCACTTAATTGGACTTGACATCTGTCACAGTATGGGAGTTTTCACAGCCCAAATATTTTAGCAGATCAGATTCCCACTGACTCTGTGCCATGGAACATAACATTTGAAAACAGTCCACGATAGAAACCTTAGGCTCTAAACAGGCTGTAGCCATAATCAGACTGTTTCTCTTTTTCAGATTATTGATACACTCTTTAAGTGCAAATAAACACCATATTGACTGGAAAAATTGCCCTGGCATCTCATAAAATGTGAACATCTCTCCTCAATGTTTAGCAAAATATTTATGCCCAAACATGGGAGTGACTATATACTCTGCAAGGTGTTAGAATGAGTAAGAATGGATTACACAACAGCTCACGTTTATTAGTGATCATTTATACATCTTAAAATACACTCCAACGAGGCTCTATTATGCATAGGAGCACATCTGAGAGGGATTCTGCCTCTGGATTAACTGACCAATGAGAGAAGGGGGTCATAGAAACCTTTCCTGTTAAGTCATCAGTGGGACTGGGGATGGAAGCGAGCTATCATTTCAGGAACGAGACGGTTCTACGTCTCTGAGTGTGTTTGTGTTTCTCTTAGCCCACTCATTCATACAATTTAAAGGATAGCATGTGTTGATGACTGTGCTTCATTCTTGCCTCTTTTAATAGGCAGATACATTCAGCCCTGCATGCAGCTGTGCATTGGGCTAGGATGTAAACACACACGAATCACCAGCGTTGTCCAGCTTTTGCCTTACACAACCTCATTGTCCTGAATTTATACGCCTTGTAACAGAAGGGAAAACCCAGTTCAATCTTCCTTGTCACCTTATAGAGATGATGCTAGCCACCTCCACTTGTACATTGCAATTATTTTCACTTGTTTGAATGGACACATTAAAATAAAAATAAGTTTGGTGGCTTTACTCCCTACCTCCTCAATGGGGGGAAGGAGGGATGCTTAGGAAGAAAGGAGTCCTCACTTCCCCTCCTTTATCAGTTTTGCCCCCACCAACCAGCTCTTGACAAGGGGGTCTGTATTACCACTACCACCACCACCGCCCGTGACCGGAGTGATCCTCTGGGTTCCTCAAGGAAAGCACAAATACTGTTGGCTATTCTTGGATGAGAAGAGTAGGGAATGCCTTCAAGGAATAGGGGCCATTAACACTTTCCATTCCTGCCCCTACCAGCACCACACAGGGGACCAAAAGCAAACCACACTCCCTGCCATCGAGTAGATTGACTCCTAGTGACCTTTAGGACAGGGTAGACCTGCTCCTGGGGATGTCGAAAACGAACTTTTTATGGAAGGAGAGAAAGCTTGGGCTTTCTCCTGCAGAGAAACTAGTGGTTTCAAACTGCTGACCTTGTGCTTAACAGCCCAATGCATTACCACTATGCCACCAAGGCATAGAAGCACATTTTAAATACCCCAAGAACACTAAAGTGGAGGCAGAAACCAGCCGCAATGCAGGTGGTAGCAGAGACAGGTGAGTGGATGAGCTGGAAAAGTAGTAAAGCAGAAGGGCGACGGACATCGCCAACACCAAGGATTCACACACATCGTGTGTACATTCTACGTCATAGCCACCCCATAGCACAGAGTAGAACTACCCCTGTGGGTTTCTGAGGTCAATTGTTACCAGAGAAAAGGCCTCATCTTTCTCCCAGGGAGCAGGTGATGGCTTCAAACTGCTGACCTTGTGGCTCGCAGCCCAATGTATAACGCACTACACACCATCTGCGCTTCTTATATCTCCCTGAGAGACTATCTATTGTGTACCTCGACTCTTGGGTTCCATACTTGTCTCTCCCACTGGACTGTGACACTTTCAGAGAAGGGCTGGAGTTTAGAGTTCCAGCACCAAGCATCCTATGTATGGATGTTATCCTTGACACGTTACAAGTGCTCTGTACATTTAGGTGACTGATTCCACATTCAGAGATGCCGGGATATTTGTAACATAGGAATATTTCCACAAAAAGACATTCGTGGTTTGAGCTCTACCAGTTTTCTCTCCTATAAAGTGAGGATAAAACACAAGCTTTTTATGAGACTTAGTGGATATGACAGTGTTTTATAAAATATTAAGTGGCATAAGAATTAAGAGCTTATGGAATATTCAATAATGTTAAATACACTTGGTAGGCAGTAAAGCATTGATTGAAAGAGCCAGACTTCCTGACTCTAACATATACTCTTTGTATTCTTAAGTGAGCTACTTGATCTTTCTGGATCTCAGTTTTCCTGATCTGTAAGACAAGAAGAACAAAGTCATGCTATGTCCAGCCACCTCTTTCCCGCCGCAAGCATGAGTGAGAGAGTCTATGTAAAGTGTGTGTGAACCAATGCCAAGGACACATGCCCACTAAATGTTGGCTGTGAACCTGGTTAGTAATACTGTATTGTTAGTGTTTGATATAAGTACATATCGAAAGCCAGATACATATTTACGTAGGAATATAAGCATTCCAATATATTCATCCAGATCACGTGTGTGCATCGGTCCACATGCGAAACATAGGTCTAGGAATATTGCCACATGATCAAACTTATGAGGTAGGTCCTGTTGTTTTCCTGAATTTTTATATAAGGAAGCTGAGACCTGGGGAAGTGGGGAATCGGTTCAGTCATCACATAGCGAGCAAGTTTAAATTTGAGAAACTGCACTCACCACTACTGTGCATTAACGTTTCTATAGTCTGTGTATGCCTAACCAAACACATGCATGCAGGCGCATCTTTCGCCACATGACACGTGTCTGCCCCGGGAGAAATCTACATGCACAAAACACAGTCAAATTGTCGCTCTTAGAATTCAGAGATGGTCAGCGAGTCGACGCAGTTTAAATGCACACTGTGCATCTGGTTCTGTGCTAGAAACTGCTGAACTACAAAGACATTCTAATTGTTTTAATTCCACTAGGCATATGTGAACAATCTGCATTCTTAAATTTTGTAGTCCATCAGTACAAATGCTTAGCATGCATATTTCACATATGTATTTTTCACTTAAAAATAATTTTATCCAGGCATATCTTGCAAATCATATAATTCACCCTTCAAGTACATAATTAAAATATATATTCTTTGTAAGCCTACCCAGTTGTGGCAAACCAAACCAGACCAAACTCACTGCTTGAGCCAATTCTGCCTCATAGCTACCCAATTAAAAACCCTCCCTGCCATCAAACCATTCCAACTCACAGCGACCCCGGACAACAGGCAACACTCCTGCTTCCAGTTGCCGCAACAGTGACTGTGCAGGGCAGTAGGAAGCGCGTCTTCCTCTTGTGGAGCAGACGGTGGTCTCGACCCTGTAGGACAAGGTAAAACTGCCCCTGTTGCTTTCCAAGACTCTAAATCTTTTAAAAAATGTTTTATTGTAACTCTTTAAAAATTTTTTTAAATTAAAAGATCATTTTATTGGGGGCTCTGAACAGCTCTTATAACAATCTATACATCAACTATATCAAACATATTTGTATATATGTTGCTATCATTATTTTCTAAGCATTTGCTTTCTTATTTGAGCCTTGGGATCAGCTTCTCTTTTTTCCTTCCCTCCCCACCACCACCCTCATGACCCCTTGATAAATTATAAATTATTTTCATATCTTACACCAACGGCTGTCTCCCTTCCCCCATGGTTTCTGTTGTTCGTTCCCCCGGGAGGGTGGTGGTGGTTATGTGTCCATCACTGCAATTGGTTCCCCCTTCCTCCCTTCCTCTCCCCACCTTTCCCCTACCCTCCTTGTATCACTACTCCCATTCCTGTTCCTGGATTCCAGATGAGCCAAAGGTTTGCTGACACTTGGCTAGTAGATTTCCTCTTACGTTGAATTAGTTATTCTTGAGACTAATCCGTAAATAATTATCATATTTTAACAAACATGTTTAAAGCCCTCTGAAATGCTTTATTTGGGGAACTTAGAAATAATTTAGAAAGTGCTGTTTCCAATTCTTTTAAATGCTCAGCTATGAGAAATTCTGACACATGCTGTTCTTATAAGGTGCCGTTGAGGTGATTCCAACTCACAGCCCCGCTCTGCACAACAGAACATTGTGCTTCCGCTGTGTCGGTCCACCTTGTCAAGTGGCTT